TGGAGCTCTGCACTAGCGCTGCTAGGCAAAACGGCCACAAACACGCCCACTATCGTTAGGTGGAGGCAAAACTAAAACACTGATCGATGTATTTCAAAATATGCTCAGTAAAAAACTAGTTGCTAGAAATCTTCTGAGAAAAAAGGCATCCCATGGTCAAATGAATTTTAGGAAAATTTGTGTGCTGTGTACTGTATCTTGCCTTCCCCTACCTCCTCTATATCTGCGGAGATTCACAATTCATTTTGGCAGATTAAAGGCACTAAGAAAGTCTTATAGTAAAGCAATTTGTTTCCTCCCCTTCACTTTCCATTTCCCAAAATATGTGCGGCAAAACACTATCTTATGTTCTTTTTTTCATAAAACATGACAATATTTATGTCTTAGGAGATTCTGCTCCAAGAGCAAACTGAAGCAGGAGCAGCTACATGAAAACCAAATTAGGCTTGAATTCTAGATTTGTTACTCAAGAGCTGTATGATTTCTAGTTGACCCTCATTTCTTCGTGTGTGAAGTTGGAAAAGTAATAGGACCTTCCTCACAGGATTAATGGGATAAAGCAGATTTAGCACTGTGTCTAAGATCCCAAGTATCAAGCATTCTAACTGCTGCTATTTGTGATGGCAGTGAACACTGACTGATACTCATAGAAACAGTGTATTCTCCATGGAGATGCGAAATATTCTAATGGTTCTAGATTTGAACCCAGAGCAAGAATGCACATATCCAGATGTTTTTCTTTCTGAATTCCCATAAAAGTGGCCAATGGCTTCCTAAAGAAGGAAGTTATGATTAGTTGAAGGGAGTGCTCGTTGGCTTCACCTTGAATTTATCAGTTGGGTCGCTGGCTCCTTACGAATATCTACTTTCTAAGAGGTATATCCCTGAACTTCCGTCTCTTTTCACCGTAGCAGCAACAACAAAGGTGGCCTCCTTGCCCGCTTCTGGCTTGTATCTGTCACGCCTCACGCCAAGGGCCACACCTTCTGTGAGGCCGGTGTGGCTGCCATCCTGAAGGACCCCATCCAGACAAGCGTCGTAAACCGGGCCTCTGTGGGGGCCTGCAGGCTCTGGCTGTGGACATGGACTCTGTGGTACTAGATGGTGATTACTGGGTAATTCTCCCTCAAGCTCCCCTTCCAGCAGTACTCTTGATGCTGTTTTATCGTAAGCAATGTTGTCACGAAATACAGTCTTCCCTCTGTGTCCATGGACTCTGCATTCATGGATTCAACCAACCATGGATTGAAAATATTCAGAAAAAAAAATCCAGAAAGTTCCAAAAAGCGAAACTTGAATTCGCTGCAGGCTCGCAAATTTACACAGCATTTATGTTTAATTAGCTACTATGAGTAATCTCGAGATGATCTGAAGTATACAGCAGGATGTGCATGGATTTTAATGCAAGTACTATTCCACTTTATACAAAGGACTTGCGTGTCCTTGGATTTTGGTGTCCTTGGGGGTGGGGGTGGGTAGTCTTGGATCCAGTTCCTGGTGGATACTGAGGAATGACTGTATTCTTTTCCACAATCTCAGTGGAACAGGATTAGCTAAAGACTCTGGAGCTACATTGATTTAAAAAGTTGCTAAATGTTGTATACAGTGACTAGACAATAGAATTGGGGTCAAATATATTTATGAAATTGAATTTATTAAAATATATTCCCTATGGGGCTTCCCCAGTGGCTCAGTGGGAGAGAACTTGCCTGTCAATGCAGGAGATGTGGATTCAACCCCTGGGTCTGGAAGATCCCCTGGAGAAGGAAATGGCAACCTGCTCCAATATTCTTGCCTGGAAAATCCCACGGACAGAGGAGCCTGGCAGGCTACAGTCCATGGAGTCTCAAAAGAGTCAGATAGGACTGAGTGACTGAACAACAAACTCTTCTCTGTACATAATTTGGCTTCAGGCACCTTCAAACCAAGGCTCCAAGGGACAAAGTCCTGAAGAAGGAAAGGCTTTTCTGAGGTTTACTTTCCTTGTTTCTTCCTTCGTTCAGACAGAACTGTGTCTGTGTTCTATGGTGTGTTCCAGTGTTCCAAAATGGCCTGCTCCATAGCACAGTCAAAATGCAAACTCCATCAGTTGTCTTAACAGAAAAGTGGTTTAATTATTGTTTAATCCCAAATTTATGCATCTTTCTATTTTGATTTAGATTAGGTAGATATAAGTGAGCATATAGTAGATAGATGAAAAATAGAATAAGTAACGAATGAATGGAAAAATTTCTAGTGGAAAATTCTGTACCACATATACTATTTCAGATGCAAAACCAGTTATTTTCATATTTTGTTGTGTTTTTTTTGTTGCAAAAAGTGTTTAAAACTTGTTACTACAGATGATTTGAAGCATAAAAGTAAAGAGAATAGTTTAATGAACTCTTACACCCTTTATTCAGTTTCAACTATCAACTCATTATTTTTCTATTTGATCTCTAAATACCTAAATGACCTCCTTTACCCTTCCAGGGTAAAGACCCTTCTAGTCTTCGATCAGACTACTCTTCAACCATAGGATCTGGTAAATTATATCTGTGGTTTCTTCCCTGCCCTTCCTCCCCCTACCCATGTCCCTGCCTACAAATCTATATCCTGTCTGGCTGTAACTTTCCTGTTCAATGGTATTTGTTAGTGTTCTTTCAGTTGCAAGTGACAGATGGATATTCAAGCTAGGTTAGGCATGAAAGAAACTTGACTCACTCATATAACTGGGACATACACAGAGTACGTTGGCTGCAGGCATGATTGGGTCCAGGTTCTAAGATAAAATATCCTCAGGACTCTGCATTTTTGCTTTCTTCTGTTGAGGCTTCTTCAGGCAGTTCTTCCAGTGTGGTGGTGTAAATGGCCACCAGCAGATCCAAGCTTATAATTAATCAGTTTAGCAACCATGATGGTAAAAAAAGAAAACCTCACCTATATATCATGGTAGTTCCTGCAGAAGTCCTGGCACTGAGTCTCATTGTCTCCAACTGGCTGACATGCTCTCTCCCGAACCAGCTTCTTTGGCTGTGATTGGTCAGTCTGGATTGTGTGCTCATTTCTGGATCTAGGGGTGAGTTTAACCCCAACCAAACCGTGTGGAGGATGGTTTCTCAAAGTAAAATCTAGGGACTGTTATCAGAAGAGATGAGAGTGGATTCTAGGCTGGCAAAAGCAGCAGATATTCTCCATGTGAGCTCTTTTGTTGTTTATTTTTTATAAAGATTTCTAGAAAAATCTTTCCTAAAATAAAACAGTGCAAAACCAAGTGCTGTCTCCGCAGACAAAGGCTGCTCCCAGGACTTCTATGCAGATCATCTGTCTCTCCGCTACCCTCTGGAGATTTCAACAACCTCAGGGAGGCTGATGTGCCACTTCAAGCTGGTGGCCATAGTGGGCCATCTGATCCGACTCTCGGTAGAGTCTGGCCAGATTGAGCTGACAACTGTGTCACCGACTCCCTGACCATTTACGACTCTCTCTTGCCAATCCGGAGCACCATCTTGTACAGGTATGATGCAGGCACTCTAGTTGGCATGTGTAAAGAGTTTTTATAATCTCTCCTTTTGCAATGTCTGGGTTGCCCTTGGATTTTTTTTTAACCATTTTTGTGTATGTTCATGAGGTCAGAGATTGCCCCATGCCTTAGTGAGCACCCGGTGGATTAGCCAGAGCATATCAGACACAACGTTTCTTTTCACTTAAGAGCATACAACAGGCAAAATCAGTCCAGTGGGAACTTTGCTCAACAGCTTTGATATATAACAGATTTCTGGGGGGTGGGGAACCTTAGTTTTACTTCATTACAGTCACAGCGAAGGCCATTGTTTCAACAGAATGTTTAAATATGCTCTCCTCCAGGGGATCTTCCTGACTCAGGGATTCAACCCACAGCTCTGCGCCTCCTGCATTGGCAGGTGGGCTCTTTCCCACTAGAGCCACCTGGGGAGCCTGTTTGAATAGACATTCTATTATGATTACACAGCTGCAGAAAAATAAAATGTTTCCTGTTTATAAAGATAGCACAGTGTTCACTGTGAAAGTGAGCTCAATCAGAGAAAACAATGCCAACTTTTGCATTGCCATTACCCAGAAAAAATAAGCGTTATATCTGCATACATTCTTTCATTCATGCATGTGCATTATTCTACACATATATACATGTACATATCTTAGTATTGTTTACTTACTAGTAGACATCTTTTTGTGAGTGCTTAATAGTTTGATAACCTAGTAATGTCAATTAGGCTTTATTAAGAATTTGTTATTTTTACTCATTGTGCTAAAAGACATAAATTATCTTATCATTTTTAATAATGTTTATGCATATATAGAATAATATTTTTGTAAGTGTTATTTCTTCATATTTTGGTGGTGAATGAACATGTTAAAAATTCAGTGTCTAAAAATTTTTAATGGAAAATATTTGTGACTAATTCTCATCCCTCAATCATAGTTATTGGTTTCTTTTCACTATTCCCAGACACAATTAGTCATTATCTCATTTAACCCCCATCACAATGCTATGAGGAGTATACTATTATTATTATTGCCATTTCAGAGTTGCAAAACTGGCGTTTATGAAGAATTGGTTACTTCATTGCTCAGTTAAGTGACGGAGCTAAGTTTTGAACCCGGTTTTCCCTGGTGAAGAGCTGATGAATTTTGCCATTAAATACTCTTTGGGTATACCTTGTTTGCCCTCAGGAGGGTCCAGTGACAGCTATCCAGGAGAATTCTTCAGTAGTCCCTGGACAAAAGTTTCTGTGCCTGTATCAGCTCCGCTCCATCTGCAGGGCCCTGTGGGAACTAACTGATGAAGACCTGGCTGGCAAAGCCCCAGATGTAAGAATTAGCTTACATCTGCTGCTGGCCCCAGAAATGTGCAGAATTAGTGGTGGACGAAGGTCCAGCCCTCAACAACCTGTTACTTATGTGCTTTTGTTTTGTTATCTGGTTTCAGAATTTGTGAACCTGCAAGAACATTAAAGTCATTTGTTTCTACAAATAATCTCATGTTGGTGACATTTAAGTCTCCTCAGGTATGGAGGCTATCAGGAATTCGGGCATATTTTGAGGTCATTCCAGAACAAAGTAAGTCTTTCCCAGTTGAAATAAGTTATGAGAAATACTTGTTTTGATAAGATATTCCAGTCATCTCTCTCTTGAGGCTGCATTGTAATACTAGTTGAGACCCTGAGTCAGGGTCTGGTCAGAAGAGGGAGATCTCATTAGCTATTCTAACAGAGAGGATTTAATATAAAGAACTGTTAGCTCAGTGTAGAGGTGTGAAAATGGGTATCTCAAAAGGCCAAAAAAAAAAAAATACCATAAAAACACGAAAACAAAAAGACTGTAAGTTATCATGGATGTAACACATGTAGGAAGCAACTACTACTGGTAGAGTTGGAGGAACAAATACAAGCAATTGGAATGATTACAGTTTAGCACTTGGAGGAGGGGGTCTGTGGAATGGCCCCTGAGGAGGGGGTCCTGCCTAGCTGGTGTTCATGTCTATGATTTCGGAGGCAAGTGTTCATTAACTTGGGACCCAGGCCTTTGAGGGGAGGGTGCCTGACAGCTGGGCTGGCATCTTTGAGGGAAGCTGGAAAACTGCTAACAAGATTGATTCTGCTACAAGAAGGGGGAGAACCTGCAGGGGTGAGGCAGCATTACTGGGGTGACACTCCCAGAAACAAGAAACAGACACAAGTCTTCCCCCCCAGATTCCTAGCCTCTCTTCAGCACCGCTTACTGGCAGAGCCTGTGTACCTGCCTGCTAAGTCGTGTCTGACTCCTTGTAACACTATGGGCTGTAGCCCTCTGGTCTCTTCTGTCCGTGGGATTCTCCAGGCAAGAATACTGGAGTCGGCTGTCACGCCCTCTCTAGGGGGTCCTCCTGACCGAGGGATCGAGCCCGCATCTCTCATGTCGCCTACATTGGCAGGTGGGTTTTTACCACTAGTGCCACCTGGGAAGCCCTCTGGCAGAGTCTATCAGGGGGTAACAGAGAGAAGTTTGCAGAGTCCCAGAGCAGCCTTGCGAAGCAGAGAGGGATGGGTTTGGAGCCGAGGGACAATAGCTCAGCAGCGCACATTCTTCTGGCACATTCCTTTGTGGATTCTCTTTTACAGTGATGCACATGAGTGCCAGGCTTCCCAGGCTGTGCTCGTGTTAAAGAACTCGCCTGCCGATGCAGGAGACATACGAGATGTGGGTTTGATCCCTGGGCCGGGAAGGTCCCCTGCATGACAGCCCACTCCAGGATTCTCACCTGGAGAATCCCATGGACAGAGGAGCCTGGCAGGCTACAGTCCATGGGGTCGCAAAGAGTCGGACACAGCTGAAGCGACTTAGCATGCATGCACATAAGTGCCATCCTAGAAGGTGCTTGTGATGCAAAACCCAGAGTTTTTCTAGTGAGCAAAATGTGACCTTTCTCTTCATTCTTCTCTTTTTGACTTGGGTTGAAATAGTCAAACAGAACAGGATGAAAAGAGCCTTCACTGAAACGCTCATGTTTTTGTAACATTTGTTGCCTTGGAAACTGCTCAGATCTTAACAAGTCATGTTTTGCTGACTTCTTTATGAACATCAACAGAAAGATCAGGATGAGAGGTAGGGGAAAGGAGGGAAGAGGATTTGGCTTAAGTAGATGGTGAGAGCTACAGATCCATCAATGTTTTGGGACAGTGGCTCATTTTGATAAATTTTTACAAAACTGAATGTAAACTTAATTTGTTGAACAAAATTGAACTAGATATTTGAGATATTGTTGCTTTGAAAGTTATCTGTAACTCCAAAGGTTAAAAAAAATAATTATAACAGAAATATGGTACTGGAATTTGTCTGTTCACTCAAAATATACTTATTGAATGTCTGTTGTATGCCAGAAACTACTTAGGTGTTAGGGAAATAATAAGCGAAATAGATTAAAAAAATCAGTGCTCTCAGGCAGCTTATATTCCGGCAGAAAGATGACTATATCAGTAAGAATAGACATTTAGATCGTCTTAAAGACGATCTTAAAGATCTTAAAGACATGTTTACATAACATGTTATGTAAACTGGGTATACCCCTTTTTTTTTTTCTGGGTATACTCTTGAATAACAAATACACACTAATTTGAACAAAATTAACTCAGAACTTTAGAAATATATATATTTATAGTGCTGTATGTCAATATATACATACAGGGTTAATATTTTAATCATAGCTCAATAAAACTGGAAGAAAAATATATTTAAACCATGTTTTTTAAAGAAAGGAATAGCATCCTATAGCATCCTGTAACCAAAATAAATTATTTGAAAACAAGTGTAGACTTTGAACAGTATAATAGCTATGTATCTTAGGGTACTATTTCTTTTTAAAAAGTAGCTTAAATTTCAAAGATAAGCATTTATTGATCAAGAAAATGTGTATTTATAGTTAAATAAATGTATGCTATCTATTTCTCATAATTTCACAACTGCCAATCACTATGTGTTACTGGATATTTTTTTTCAGAATGTGAAAACACAGTGTTGGTCAAAGAAATCACTGGTTTTGAAGGGAAACTTTCAAGTCCATATTACCCAAGCTACTATCCTCCAAAATGCAAGTGTACCTGGAAATTTCAGGTAGCCTAGTTTTACCACTATCTTAGAAAAATATTGTTATCCTATTCTTAGTAGCAATTTATCTCTGAATTTAATTATACTGAATGTTTAAATTATTGAAAAGAATGTAGTTTTATAGTATTTAAGCTTTATTAAAATATTTTACCTACAACATGCAAGTTTGGTGTAATTTCAACTTGTTACCCACAAATTAATTGCTGTTTGCAACCTGGAGCTTATTTGTCCAGTTTCTTGTTTTGTTTGTACTTAAAAATGCAGGCTTCCCTGGTGGCTCAGATGGTAAAGAATCTGCCTGCAATGTGGGAGACCAAAGTTTGATCCCTGGGTTGGGAAGATCCCCTGGAGAAGAGAATGGCTACCCCCTCAAGTATTCCAGGGGCTTCCCTGATGGCTCAGGTTAAAAGATGCAAAGACATTATTATAGGATCAAGCGACTTATTTTATTATGATAGAGCTCATTTATTATTAATTTTTAATTACTTCATCAGCAAGAATAATTTAAAAAATAAAAATTGAATTAAGCAAGAAATGGCAACCCACTCCAGTATTCTTGCCTGGGGAATCCAATGGACAGAGGAGGCTGGCAGGCTACAGTCCATGGGGTTGCAAAAAGTCAGACACGATTTAGTGATTAAAACAAACAAAAAACATATATATCATTGTATAAACAAATCAGTGCAAATTTATATGAAATACAAACACCTCCTTCTAGTGCTAGACAGGGAGTCCCTGGTTTTTGTTTGTTTCTCTGTTTGTTTTTAAAATCTCAGTCTGTTACCTATTTTTCCTTCTTCAACTTAATGTTCATGTCGAGGGAGACAGGGCAAGGTGTCACCTTTGCCCTCCCAGCATGTGCATGTGAAGTCGTTCTTGTGAGACCATGAGATGCAGATGTTGGGTGTGAGCGGCAAGCACTGTCTAGCTTGCATCCATTCAGCATGCTGTTATTAAATGTCTGCTATGTGTCAGGCAGTATTCTGGACGCTCGGATCCATGAAGTCTGACACACACACACACACACACACACACACACACACACACACACACACGCTCTGCTCTCGTGGAATTCACTATAAAGCAGAGGGAGACAGGTGACAAATAAACAAGGTAAATGTGTAGAGGTCCATATAGTCAAAGCTATGGGTTTTCCAGTAGTCATTTGCAGATGTGAGAGTTGGACATAGAGAAGCCTGGCGCTTCAGAATTAATGCTTTGGGACTGTGGTGCTGGAGAAGACTCTTGAGAGTCCCTTGGACTGCAAGGAAATCAAACCAGTCAATCCTAAAGGAAAACAACCCTGAATATTCATTTTAAGGACTGATGCTGAAGCTCCAATACTTTGGCCACCTGATGCAAAGAACTGACTCTGTTGAAAAGACTCTGATGCTGGGAAAGATTGAAGGCCAAAGGAGAAGAGGTGGCAGAGGATAAAACAGTTGGATGGCATCACCAACTCAATGGATATGAGTCTGAGCAAACTTCAGGAGATGGTGAAGGACAGGAAGGCCTGGTGTGCTGCAGGCCATGGACTCACAAAGAATCGGACACAACCAAGCAACTGAACAACAGCAACAAAAATGTATATAGTGCATTCCACGATGATAGAATGCTGTGGAGAATGAAGCTGGGGAGGGGCTTTGTAGTGGAGTGGGGGTCAGGGTATGAAAGGTAGAAAGTCAGGGATTTGTTGTCTGAAATAGGATGGTCAGGGAAGGCCTCACTGCCAAGGGGACATTTGCACAGAACCCTGAGACACAAGGGAACTAACCTGGTGTGTGCTGAGGGCAGCAGCGCCGCCGGCAGAGGGGAAAGCTGACGCAGAGGCTCCCAGGCAGGAGCCTGCTGACTGCACGTGTAGGGTGTGTGCAAGGTCATAACCGTTAAATATGGAAATAATTTTATCATACCCAAATCTGTACTTGGTGTCAGTGTCTTGCCAGCATGCATCCTTAAATTATTTTTTAATCATTAGCATAAACATTTAAAATATATTTAAGACATAAAGGTGCTGAACTCTGGCTTACTGCCGGATTTTCGGTGCCTCGGGGAAGCAGAAGCTCAGAGCCTCAGGCGGCTAGCTAGTATGAAGGTCGGGGAGGTGGGAAGAATGGAAGAGAAGATGAGAAGCCTTGGGGAAAGAGGAGGGAAAGACATCACATACGCCTCTTCAGTCTCTTCAATGAGCAGTTATCTTCTTTATAATGTCTAGAACAAGAAAGGGGCTTCCCAGGTGGCGCCAGTGGTGAAGAATCTGCCTGTCAATGTAGGAGACGCAGGAGACACAGTAGACGCACTTTCCGCCCCTGGGTCGAGAAGATTGCCTGGAGTAGGAAACGGCAACCCGCTCCAGTATTCTTGCCTGGGAAATCCCATGGACAGAGGAGCTGGCAGGGCTACAGTCCCTGGAACTGCAAAGGGTCAGACATGACTGCATGACTAAACACACAGAACAGGAAAGACTCCATTCCTAAAACCTCCAGCGATTTTGAAATTCCTTTCAAGATAAAACAACTAGTGATCCCACGTATAATTTAAAAGTTCCTAAACATTACTGTGATTAAGCTTTAGTTTAAGGTACAAATAAAAATATCCAATCACTTTCTGTTTCACTGAATCAAGGGTTAGAAACACTGAATAAAAGGAAATCTTTAAAAGGAAAAGAGCCTGGGAGTGGGAAATGGGAAATGAGAGACAGGAAATACTGGGGACAGACTTCTGGGACGACACCATTCCCCAGAGGTCAAGGTCAGTCGTTCTCAGCGTGAAGGTTAAATATAGCTGTTCCTTCCTTGGGAAGCTTTGAGCAGCCACCAATGGCTGCATGAGAACATGTTTCTGAATGGAAATCATGTAAAAAATAATTTGTCACCTGCAAAATAACTTTGTATTTATTAAAAAATGATTAAGAACCAGATGACTTAAGTAACAAAAATACTGACTCAAGTCATGATAAACCTTTTTTACGTCAAAGTTACTTATGTCATCCACAGTCCTTCTTAATGCCTGGTCCAATTTCCAAATCTACTGAAGAACAATCAGTTCCCTTTGCCAACTAACTTTCAGCTGAGTTTTTAAGGTCTTATTTATCTGAGAAAGTTTAACTCTTGCTCCAACTTAAAGCCCATCTGATTCTTCTCCCAAGCTCTCCTGTTCATCCTGTAAACATTTGTAGAATGTCTGCTATATGTCAGGCACTGTGCCTGTACAGGGTGGCCTAGTAGCAAGGTGACCAAAGTCCTTGGCAGAGCTTGCAGACTACAGAGGAGGGAGATACTAAATCAGAAAAACCAAAAAAGAGCTTTGAGATTATAATATGCTGTCTACTTTTGTTTAGGGTGCTTAGTGGCATCGACTTTTTGTGACCCCATGGGTTGTAGCCCACTAGTCTCTCTGTCCATGGGATTTTCCAGGCAAGAATACTGGAGTGGGTTGCCCTATCCTTCTCCAGGGGATCTTTCTGACCCAGGGATATAACCCAAGTCTCTTATGTCTCACTAGTGCCACCTGGAAAGCCCCACTTTTGTCTAGTACTTTAGTGCTTTCAGCAAAAGTACATTTTGCTCTTCAAAATGTAGCTCTGATGTAGGGTAGATACTCTAGTTATGGTTTACAGATAAGAAAACAGAAGTGGAGGCACTCATTTGCCAGAAGCCACTCCAATAGCGAGCAATCCATGTAGAATTAAAAGGAATCATACTTCCTCCATAAATAAATTCAGCAGCCCCTCCTTTTCTGGGCTCCTAAAGATGTTCAGACCCTAAAGAAGGCAGAAAGCCAAAGAACTGATGCCCTCAAACTGTGCTGCTGGAGAAGACTCCTAAAAGTCCCTTGGACAGCAAGGAGATCAAACTATTCAATCTTAAGGGAGAGCAATCCTGAATATTCACTGGAAGGACTGATGCTAAAGCTGAAGCTCCAGTATTTTGGTCATCTGATGCAAATAGACAACTCATTGGAAAAGTCCCCGATGCTGGGAAAGATCGAGGGCAGAAGGAGAAGAGAGTGTCAGGCCATGAGACGGCTAGATGGTATCACTGATGCAATGAACATGAACTTGAGCAGGCTCTGGGAGATGGTGAGGGACAGGCAGCCCTAGCGTGCTGCAGTCCATGGGATTGCAAAGAGCAGGACATGACTGAGCAACTGAACACAACAACAACAAGGTGTTCAGCTTCCCTGTGCGTCGGCAATCACTCATCTGAACATTCACCTCCCTCTCTCTTCTGTTCCCCGCCCCCCCGAAATGATCAGTTTTGCTTTAGAGTCTCAGAAGCAAAGAAAGAAGCTGTCTTTTGAGTTGTTTTACCACAGATGTTATCAGCCCAACACCCTATACAATTAGGTATGTTCTACCAGACATAAGCAGGGATCACCGTGGGATCACCATATGAGTTCACCTCCTCATATCAGATGGGATTCCCAGAATGAAGCCTCTCTTCTATGCTTCTGTGGCAAGCATCTTTGCTGCAGAATTCTCCAGTGTTCATCTGAAGTTCATCTGAGCTGTGTGTACACAGCCATTGGCAAGCTAGGGGTGATTGAAGATAAGGCATGTCCTGCATTCTGTCATCATCTTTGACTAGAGAAATATTTAAATACAGCAGGTCCAGATCAGAATTCCTCCCCTTAGTTGGTTAAAGGTCACAAAGCAAAGGCAGGGGCTGGGCAATGGGAACAGTATAGAACGTAGAAGGAGATAGCGTGCTTAGTAGATTGTTCCTATTTCTTGTTCATTTGTCAAAAATAGCTTGCAATGCTTTCTCAAAATGAACCTTGTCCCTCTGTTTACATCACAGTGATATCACTAGTGCCTCTTGTTAATCTGAGTATGAAAGCAGAAAGTGTGCCGTGCTGTGTCAGTGGGATCAGTGTGCAAGGGGACATATTTCCTTCCACTGCAGACAGGCTTTGTGCTGGGGAGAGGGGTAGTGATGCCTATAAATCCATTTTGTTTCGGTGCCCTGGAACTCAGTGAAAATGCCTAAGCGAGTTTCTTGGTGGAGGATTACACTGGAATATGTTCTTATGCCATACAATTTAATTGATTCCTTGAAGAGTTTACTGTCTCTCAGTTTGCATCTTTTTTTTTTTTTTTTAGTATAAAGAAAGTCAGATGACGAGTGGAAAAAATGTGATATGTGTTTTCATGAGTCTTATGGTGAATAAAAAACAGCCCTGTTCTTTTTGAGTTCCCAACACAGATCTCTAGTTGGGACTAAAAAAAAGGAGGCCTTCAGAGACATGCAGGACTAGTTTGGACAAGCAGGATTAGTTCATTTCTTAACCTTGGGAAAGTTACTTGTCTTTGGTTAGCCTAGACTTCTTCTGTAGGATGGGTATCATATTACCTGCCTAACGGTGATGTTGTGACATTTAAATCAGAATCATAAAGTACCCAACTCATTCCCTCTCAAAGGTAGGCTAAGGGGGGAAATCTACTACATTTAAACACACATAAGAAAGAAGCACACCACACAGCAAAGAAATTGTAACATGAAATATGAGGACATAATTGAAAAACCAATGTCTGTCAGAGAAATAACAGTCAATGGACAAAATTCATATTGTTAAAAGAACAAGACAGTAAGATTGAATCACAAAATATTACCTAAAACTTAACTATACGCTGTTTTTGAAAGACAAAATGAATTTAAAAGGTGATTTAATAAAGCTGAAAATAAAACTAGGCAGTTATACCAGACCACATAATCAATAAGAAAGTAGGGATCTCAACCTTAACACCAGACAATACTGAAATCAGGGCATTCAGTGAGAAAAGGAAGGCAATCTACAGTGATAAAGAGGGCAATCCACATAAGGATCTAAGTACTACAGGTATTTATGCACCAAAGGACATAGTGTTATTACTTGTAAAACTTACAGGAAGTACAAAGAGAAGTGGAGAGTGCTTCAGTAAGAGATTTTCCTTTTTCTTGGCTCATTACAGAGGCAGCGGGGGCAGGGGTCAACAAATAAGGCTAGGAAGAGTATTAAATCATACAAATAATAAGTTTGGTAATATATGTATAAACAGAAATTACCCTCCTTTTCAAACTGACCTTGGAGACTTCATACATTTGATCACAGCAAAATTCTTGGTAAATTAAAAAGTTAAAAGCTACATTGCAATAAATAACCTCTTATCTAACTTAGATAGAATTAAAACTTGAAAATGCTGCTGCTGCTAAGTCGCCTCAGTTGTGTCCAACTCTGTGCGACTTCATAGACAGCAGCCCACTAGGCTCCCCCATCCCTGGGATTCTCTAGGCAAGAACTCTGGAGTGAATTGCCATTTCTTTCTCCAATGCATGAAAGGGAAAAGTGAAAGTGACGTCGCTTAGTCGTGTCCGACTCTTAGCGACTCCATGGACTGCAGCCTACCAGGCTCCTCCATCCACAGGATTTTCCAGGCAAGAGTACTGGAGTGGGTTGCCATTGCCTTCTCCAACCTGAAAATAAGGAAGCCAAAATTCTACTCCCTAAAATATGAGAACTCTCTCTTAATCTCTGAATCAAAGTGAACATAAAACAAGCATTGTGGCATATCAGATGTGATGTATGTGCGTAGCATACAATGCCACAACAAGGCCAGTTGCATTGTGTGTGCGTGTGTGTGTGTGTGTTCACTTGTGCATGTACCAAATAGGTAACTGCTTCTCTTATTTAATCTTTTCTGAGAATAGGGATGACTCATTTACTGCCTTCCAGAATACTAAGGTTTAATAGAAAGAGGATATTGATTCATTCTTCCTTTTTCTAAAGAATCAGAATAATGTCTTAAATAAATTATGTCATTATTGTGTTTAGGGAGGAAAGTGTGTATACTTGCTAACAAGTGGGTGTTTTCAAAGTTGAGCTCACTTACTAGGAGGAAGCAGAAATGTAGAGATGAACTAATGCATCTACTCTAGGTCACCTGGGTCATCACACTGCTGCCTCACAGCTGCTCCCTAAGCCTGGGGGTTCACGTCTGTCTCTCATGTTCTCCTTAGGTTGGTTTGTTCAGGGGGACTGGTCCACTTCACCAAGTGCCACAGGGCACAAGGAATAAACTCCTTTAAAGCAGCAAGCCCAGGGGGTGAGTTCTGAGTGACAAAATCTTAGTCTGAAACATATTCTTCAATTGAGTCATTTTTCTGACACTGACTTACCTTTGTTTTTCATAGTCTCCCCTCTCAACTCTTGGCATAGCATTGAAATTCTGTAACTATTCAATAGCCAAGAAGAGCATGAGAGGCTGTGACCATGGATGGTGGGAAATCAATGAGCACATGTAAGTGTTTACGGTATGTGAAGAATTTAATGAAAAGCCTTGCCCGGAAGTTCAAAGCCTTGGATTCCTTTTCTCCAAAGAGTTTTCACTTTGCTATTTATAGACAGGGAAACAGAAAATACAGGAGTTAAGTAATTTTCTCTCAGTTGCTCAGCTCGTAAAAGATTAAGCCAGGATTCACAAATCCCTGTTTCCATCACTGCTCCATGCTGTTGAGATATGGATATACATACTCCGTACTTCACAAAAATAATTGGCAGATAAACCACTGCAGTCCTGAAAGAAAATAGTAAAGAGAAGCCTTGGTGATTATAAAAGCTAGAAACCGTGAGCCAATTCTGTGCAGTAGGAGAAAGAAACTAAGAGAAATCTAGGTGTCTGGGCTTCCTGAATTGACCTAGTAGGTCCTCACTCTTTCCCTTACTTCATTCTTTAGCTGTTCCTACTGTTTATATGCTTCTAAAGTTATAATAGGTCTCATATATTCAAAAATTACAAGATGCCCTGTTTTTGCTAACTAGCTTCTCATTTTACTTTAAGGATCCTTGTGAAATTAGCCTGAGAAATCCGTCTGCTGACTCTTTGCTTCTTGTTCTTCCATGAATGAAACCTTCCCTTCCTCTATGATTTTCCTGAGCAAACTTCTTCGATTTTCTTTAGACTCTTAGATGACTTTCTAGGAGACCCAGATTTGATACCTGGGTCAGGAAGTTCCCCTGGAGGAGGAAATGGCTACCCACTCCAGCATTCTTGCCTGGAGAATCCCATGGACAGAGGAGCCTGGTGGACTAAAGGCCATGGAGTCACATAGAGTCAGACACTACTGAGCGACTAACACTTTTTTTTTTCATTTATTTTTATTAGTTGGAGGCTAATTACTTCACAACATTTCAGTGGGTTTTGTCATACATTGACATGAATCAGCCATGGAGTTACATGTATTCCCCATCCCGATCCCCCCTCCCACCTCCCTTTCCACCCGATTCCTCTGGGTCTTCCCAGTGCACCAGGCCTGAGCACTTGTCTCATGCATCCCACCTGGGCTGGTGATCTGTTTCACTACAGATAATATACATGCTGTTCTTTCAAAACATCCCACCCTCGCCTTCTCCCACAGAGTCCAAAAGTCTGTTCTGTACATCTGTGTCTCTTTTTCTGTTTTGCATATAGGGTTATCATTCAAAATTTCTAAATTCCATATATATGTGTTAGTATACTGTATTGGTCTTTATCTTTCTGGCTTACTTCACTGTGTATAATGGGCTCCAGTTTCATCCATCTCATTAGAACTGAGTCAAATGAATTCTTTTTAATGGCTGACTAATATTCCATGGTGTATATGTACCACAGCTTCCTTATCCATTCATCTGCTGATGGGCATCTAGGTTGCTTCCATGTCCTGACTATTATAAACAGTCCTGCGATGAACATTGGGGTTCATGTGTCTCTTCCAGATCTGGTTTCCTCGGTGTGTATGCCCAGAAGTGGTATTGCTGGGTCATATGGCTGTTCTAATTCCAGTTTCTTAAGAAATCTCCACACTGTTTTCCATAGTGGCTGTACTAGTTTGCATTCCCACCAACAGTGTAAGAGGGTTCCCTTTTCTCCACACCCTCTCCAGCATTTATTGCTTGTAGACTTTTGGATAGCAGCCATCCTGACTGGCGTGTAATGGTACCTCATTGTGGTTTTGATTTGCATTTCTCTGATAATGAGTGATGTTGAGCATCTTTTCATGTGTTTGTTAGCCATCTGTATGTCTTCTTTGGAGAAATGTCTGTTTAGTTCTTTGGCCCATTTTTTGATTGGGTCATTTATTTTTCTGGAATTGAGCTGGAGGAGTTGCTTGTATATTTTTTAGATTAATCCTTTGTCTGTTGCTTCATTTGCTATTATTTTCTCCCAATCTGAGGGCTGTCTTTTCACCTTACTTATAGTTTCCTTTGTTGTGCAAAAGCTTTTAAGTTTCATTAGGTCCCATTTGTTTATTTGTGCTTTTATTTCCAATATTCTGGGAGGTGGGTCATAGAGGATCCTGCTGTGATTCATGTCGGAGAGTGTTTTGCCTATGTTCTCCTCTAGGAGTTTTATAGTTTCTGGTCTTACATTTAGATCTTTAATCCATTTTGAGTTTATTTCTGTGTATGGTGTTAGAAAGTGTTCTAGTTTCATTCTTTTACAAGTGGTTGACCAGTTTTCCCAGCACCACTTGTTAAAGAGGTTGTCTTTTTTCCATTGTATATCCTTGCCTCCTTTGTCGAAGATAAGGTGTCCATAGGTTCGTGGATTTATCTCTGGGCTTTCTATTCTGTTCCATTGATCTATATTTCTGTCTTTGTGCCAGTACCATACTGTCTTGATGACTGTGGCTTTGTAGTAGAGTCTGAAGTCAGGCAGGTTGATTCCTCCAGTTCCATTCTTCTTTCTCAAGATTACTTTGGCTATTGGAGGTTTTTTGTATTTCCATACAAATTGTGAAATTATTTGTTCTAGTTCTGTGAAAAATACCACTGGTAGCTTGATAGGGATTGCATTGAATCTATAGATTGCTTTGGGTAGAATAGCCATTTTGACAATATTGATTCTTCCATGGTATGTTTCTCCATCTGTTTGTGTCCTCTTTGATTTCTTTCATTAGTGTTTTATAGTTTTATATGTATATGTCTTTTGTTTCTTTAGGTAGATATACTCCTAAGTATTTTATTCTTTTTGTTGCAATGGTGAATGGTATTGTTTCCTTAATTTCTCTTTCTGTTTTTTCATTGTTAGTGTATAGGAATGCAAGGGATTTCTGTGTGTTAATTTTATATCCTGCAACTTTACTATATTCATTGATTAGCTCTAGTAATTTTCTGGAAGAGTCTTTAGGGTTTTCTATGTAGAGGATCATGTCATCTGCAAACAGAGAGAGTTTCACTTCTTCTTTTCCTATCTGGATTCCTTTTACTTCTTTTTCCGCTCTGATTGCTGTGGCCAAAACTTCCAACACTATGTTGAATAGTAGTGGTGAGAGTGGGTACCCTTGTCTTGTTCCTGATTTCAGGGGAAATGCTTTCAATTTTTCACCATTGAGGGTGATGCTTGCTGTGGGTTTGTCATATATAGCTTTTACTATGTTGAGGTATGTTCCTTCTATTCCTGCTTTCTGGAGAGTTTTAATCATAAATGGATGTTGAATTTTGTCAAAGGCTTTCTCTGCATCTATTGAGATAATCATATGGTTTTTATCTTTCAATTTGTTAATGTGGTGTATTACATTGATTGATTTGCGGATATTAAAGAATCCTTGCATTCCTGGGATGAAGCCCACTTGGTCATGGTGTATGATTTTTTTAACATGTTGTTGGATTCTGTTTGCTAGAATTTTGTTAAGGATTTTTGCATCTATGTTCATCAATGATATTGGCCTGTAGTTTTCTTTTTTTGTGGTATCTTTGTCTGGTTTTGGAATTAGGGTGATGGTGGCCTCATTGAATGAGTTTGGAAGTTTACCTTCTTCTGCAATTTTCTGGAAGAGTTTGAGTAAGATAGGTGTTAGCTCTTCTCTAAATTTTTGGTAGAATTCAGCTGTGAAGCCATCTGGTCCTCGGCTTTTGTTTGCTGGAAGATTTCTGATTACAGTTTCGATTTCCTTGCTTGTGATGGCTCTGTTAAGATCTTCTATTTCTTCCTGGTTCAGTTTTGGAAAGTTATACTTTTCTAAGAATTTGTCCATTTCATCCAAGTTGTCCATTTTATTGGCATAGAGCTGCTGGTAGTAGTCTCTTATGATCCTTTGTATTTCAGTGTTGTCTGTTGTGATCTATCCATTTTCATTTCTAATTTTGTTAATTTGGTTCATCTCTGTTTGTATCTTAATGAGTCTTGCTAATGGTTTGTCAGTTTTGTTTATTTTTTAAAAAAACCAGCTTTTAGCTTTGTTGATTTTTGCTATGGTCTCTTTAGTTTCTTTTGCATTTATTTCTGCCCTAATTTTTAAGATTTCTTTCCTTCTACTAACCCTGGGGTTCTTCATTTCTTCCTTCTCTAGTTGCTTTAGGTGTAGAGTTAGGTTATTTATTTGACTTTTTTCTTGTTTCTTGAGGTAGGCCTGTAATGCTATGAACCTTCCCCTTAGCACTGCTTTTACAGTGTCCCACAGGTTTTGGGCTGTTGTGTTTTCATTTTCATTCATTTCTATGCATATTTTGATTTCTTTTTTGATTTCTTCTATGATTTGTTGGTTATTCAGAAGCGTGTTATTTAGCCTCCATATGTTTGAATTTTTAACAATTTTTTTTCCTGTAATTGAGATCTAACTTACTGCACTGTGGTCAGAAAAGATGACTGGAATGATTTCAAATATTTTGAATTTACCAAGACTAGATTTATGGCCCAGGATGTGATCTATTCTGGAGAAGGTTCCGTGTGCACTTGAGAAAAAGGTGAAGTTGATTGTTTTGGGGTGAAACGTCCTATAGATGTCAATTAGGTCTAGCTGGTCCATTGTGTCCTTTAAAGTTTGTGCTTCCTTGTTCATTTTCTGTTTAGTTGATCTATCCATAGTTGTGAGTGGGGTATTAAAGTCTCCTACTATTATTGTGTTACTATTAATTTCCTCTTTCATACTCGTTAGCATTTGCCTTACATATTGCGGTGCTCCTATGTTGGGTGCATATATATTTATAATTGTTATATCTTCTTCTTGGATTGATCCTTTGATCATTATGTAGTGTCCTTCTTTGTCTCTTTTCACATCCTTTATTTGAAAGTCTATTTTATCTGATATGAGTATTGCGACTCCTGCTTTCTTTTGGTCTCCGTTTGTGTGAAATATTTTTTTCCAGCCCTTCACTTTTAGTCTGTATGTGTCTCTTGTTTTGAGGTGGGTCTCTTGTAGACAGCATATATAGGGGTCTTATTTTTGTATCCATTCAGCCAATCTCTGTCTTTTGGTTGGGGCATTCAACCCATTTACATTTAAGGTAATTATTGATAGGTGTGGTCCTGTTGCCATTTACTTTGTTGTTTTGGGTTCACGTTTATACAACCTTTCTGCATTTCCTGTCTAGAGAAGATCCTTTAGCATTTGTTGAAGAGCTGGTTTGGTGGTGCTGAATTCTCTTAGCTTTTGCTTGTCTGTAAAGCTTTTGAATTCTCCTTCATATCTGAATGAGATCCTTGCTGGGTACAGTAATCTAGGTTGTAGGTTATTCGACTAACACTTTTACTTTCATTTTCTGCTAGTTTTAAAGGCTTTCTTGGATCCATTATTAATGTGTGGCCTGTACTCCTTTGGAAAGTATTTTTGAAACAAGAGTCTATTATGTAGGAGGCAGAAGACCTAGGTTCAAGTTGCAGCCCTGTTATTTTGTAGCTATATTAACTAGGACAAATTATTTAATTGCTTTGATTGTCAGTCTGTAAAATGAGGTAATAAGGTGGAGTTTTTGGTAAGTATTCAGTGAAATGATGCTTATCTTACATCAAAATATATTAACTATGATTAATATGATTAAGATTGCTAAGGAAATGACATCAGATGCATAAATACTTTGGAATATGCCCCAAGGCTTTAAAGATACAGCATTTTGGTATTTAATCAGAGGTCCAGAACACAAATCTTTACAAATCTTTTGTAAGCTTATATGCTTAAAGCAGCGCTTTGAAGATGGGATACTTCCCCCACCTAAGTAACAACCCCTACCACCCATGATGTATTGCTACGAAAATATGGACAGTTTCCTCCCACAAATACCAGGAAAGCTCTCTGCCCTAAATACTTCTCCTGAAGGGCTAGTTCTTCCCCTTGTCTTGTGGGTTGGCTGAAATCCTCTCAGATTCTTTTGATACTAGCAGTACCCAAAGGATTTTAAATGCCAGCCCTTTCATTATCAGTTCTTTTCATCAGAAAGGCTCTAATTGAACTAATTTCTGACACTTTGCTGCTAAGTAGCCTAAAGGCTTTGGATCTAGAGTAGGGATGGAAGAAAAAGTAACGCTGGTGCCCGGAAGCCTGGTGATCCTAGATTTAGAGAACACAGCGGTAGGGTGTGAGTGCTCAGGACAGCTAGAATGCAGTATGCAAACCTGAAAAAGGGACAGCTTCCCGCAAAGCTTTTGTACAACCAAGTTCCTGAGAGGAAGGCAGTTGTTTGTTAGAAAGTGTAAAGGTTTAGTATCTGTTGAACTCTATCCTAATCCTATCTCTTCTTATTTGCTATTTGAACTTTAACAAATTACTTCACCTCTTACATCTCAGTTTTCTTACCTGTCACTCATCTGTCCATGTAAACTAACACTTGCTGGGTTTCTCAATCTCTCACTTTATTTTACGTTCGTTTCATAAACTACCACTATCAGTTCAGTTGCTCAGTCATGTCTGACTCTTTGCGACCCCATGGACTGCAGCATGCCAGGCCTCCCTGTCCATCACCAACTCCTGGAGTTTACTCAAACTCATGTCCGTTGAATCAGTGATGCCATCCAACCATCTCATCCTCTGTTGTCCCCTTCTCCTCGTGCATTCAATCTTTCCCAGCATGAGTCTTTTCAAAAGAGTCAGTTCTTCCCATAAGAACTAACAGTATGCTCATCTTTGCAAGAAAACTCTAGTACATGTTAAAATCACTATGAGATACTGATACAATCACTGTGATATTAGAATGCATGATTCTGATTCCAAGATGAACACCTAGAGTAGACTCTGGAGCCAAGAGCTTGACTCAGCTGTTAGGTACCTCTTGGATGCTGGCTCCCACTTAGCCAGTTGGGCCCTGGCAGCTCCCCATATCCCCAGAGCTGGTATATTCACCCATCAGCTCCTGAACTTCAGCCAAATGCAAAAGATTCTTTCTGAAATATACATGAATGCTTTGAACTATGGGGCTTCCCTGATAGCTCAGTTGGTAAAGAATCCGCCTGCAATGCAGGAGACCTGGGTTTGATCCCTGGGTTGGGAAGATCCCCTGGAGGAAGGGAAGGGCCACCCACTCCAGTATTCTGGACTGGAGAATTCCATGGACTGTATAGCCCTTGGGGTTGCAAAGAATTGGACACAACTGAGCAACTTTCACTTCACTCACTTTGAACTGTGAAATGATAGGCTCTTCCTACTGAACAATAGCATCTGATCCATGGAACATGTGTGGTTCCCAAATGCTTTGGGGACCTGGAGCGATTGCCATTCACAGATTCCAAACAAGAATGACCTCCCTCAAGCCTAGAGTTTATTGGTTCCTTTTGGAAACTTACATATTTCACCTGGAAAAGTCTTGACCACACAGGGCAGAGCCTAACTTACCATGGGTACCCAGTGTATTAATGATTATACTTCATGTTCCACTAACCATAGTGCTCAGATAATAAAAACTAATAATAGGAGGGACATTTTCTCCTAGCTGATGAGAAGTAAGAAATTGAAGTAGGGAAATATTGCAGATAGATATCACTATTTTGAAATTTTGCCAAGGACAAGCCCTGAAGTTCACCAGAGTTTAAATTAGACTGAAATATTGTTGTCTTTTGTTTTAAGTGTTGCTGGAATTTTTTGCATGCTTTTAATTTTAGTTGATGGATTTCACTCTGTTGTGAAGAGAGGTCTGTAGCTGAACAAAGTAGGCAATTCTTTTTTTGTTAGGCAGTTATATATATACTGAAAGAAGAGAGAAGACTAAGAGATATAAACCCATATTTATTCCAGTTTTAAGTATTGGTGAGGAAAGTAACAGGTAATAACATTTAGAGCACTGCTGCTGTTTTATTTAGCAAGGGAGGAAATCAAGGGGACAGAAGTGACTCAATCATAATCACTTAGCATAGGATGGATGACTACCATCAGACTACCATCAGCGTTACTATAAGCGTCTCTGTTTATGAAGCTCAAATGACCAAAGTATCAGTGAGTTTGGTCACCAAGCAGCTAACACAGTCTCAAGCTGTGTGCCCCTAACTCTTGCTGGCAGGTACTGCAGCTCCTGCATGGATCACCAGACGATTTTCCGAGTGCCCGGCTCTCTGGTTCACAGTCAGCTGCAGTGCAGTTCAATGCTTTCGGACAAGCCGCTTTTGGTGGAATATGGCAGTTACAACATCAGTCAACGTAGGATGGAGATCAGTCCCTTAAGAAACCGTAACGAAAGGTTAAACAGAGGCCAACATGTTATGACTCTAAACTTTGAGAAACTTTGAGAATTTAAGGAATGAAAACTGCTTCTTTACTTCTGTTATTGACTAGCATATTTTTATAATGATATTTAAATAAATATATAGTAGAAGCAAAATATATGATAAATAATACATACAATTATGTATTTATTCTGCTGAAGTTTAAATTATAGAAGAAATAATATAATTGCTTGTTATAATTGAAAAATAGTTTCTTCCATTGTTCCTGAAATATCAGACAATTTCTTGATTCACTGTTCTCACCATCCATAATTTTTTGTAAATATGAAGTTTACATCGTCATTTGGTGGATTGAAGGGCAATAGTTGCAATTCACTACGACCTCTGATACACAGGGAGAGCTGGCCATTCAAGGAGTCCAAATGCCAACCTCCAGAATGTTGAACTTCACACTGAGAACTATTGGGAGACATGGCCAGGAAGAGGTCAGGGGAAAAGGCAATGTCTGAGTGCTGGAGAGAGTAGACCCCGACTCAGGACATTCATGACCTGTTTTAAAAGCAGGGAAAGTAAAGGTTAACCGCTTCGGAACCCATGAGGTTAAGACTCAAGAGAAAGCTCAGCTAGCCCTTCCGCCTCTGCCGACACTAATACCCCTCCTTCTGGGTTCAGAGTCTCGCACTTCTGAATGTCGGAGCATCACAGCCACCAGTGAGGACAGAGGTACACAGTAAGCTGTCTTATCTTTAACTAGTTTTTCGAATGATGACTATTTTCTAGGAACTCATCCTCTCCATTGTGTGCTATTGAAACAGTGGTTGACCTCACCATGCCCTATTCCTATTCATCTGCACAAAGCACAGACTAGGTAGCTTATACAGAACAGAAATTTGCTTTCCACAGTTCTAGAGGCTGGACATCCAAGATCATGTTCCAGCTTGGTTGAAGGAGGGCCATCTTCTGGCCTCAGACTTCTCATTATGTCCTAGAGTGATGGAAGGAGTGAGGATGCTCTGGGCCTATTATTGAAATAAAGGCACTCATCTCATTCATGAGGGCTCTGTGTTCATCATTTATCACCTTCCAAAGGCCCCATCTCTTCCTACCACCACCTTGGGCATTAGGACTTCAACGTATCAATTTGGGGGTGAAGAACACAGTCCTTTAGACCATGGCAGAGAAAAAACATTCATTATTACTATCATGATAAGCTACAAGCCCAGGAGTAAAGATTCTGGGCCAGGCAGGCAATGAATCTTTGATGAGTAGGCTTGTTGAAGTGCCTTAGAAGTCCTGAGTTTTGAGAACAGTTGTTAATCTTTCTAGGTCCAACCTTTAAGATCTGTGGTTATTAATACATTTTATGGCAGAGATCACTTGAAAATGTAATTAAATGCACAGACTCAGAATGATGTATCTGATCGTAGAGGATTCAGAGACACCAGAAAGCCATTTAAATTCCTCAGACACTCTAAAGACTGCACTCTGAGCCTACTAGATTTGAAGTCATGCTCCAGGTTTCTCTTTCTTTGAGTTTGGGATAAAGCCAAGACTCACATCCTTGCTGAGTCAAGGGTAGAGATGTAGGAGTCTGATTGTACATGGTGAACTGGATGCAGTGTTGACTCAACTTCTTGTGGATTTGTTTGCTTTCTTTGCTCTCTTAAATTCTCCCTTTTGCTCTTTTAAATATCAGCTATAGCTTTGCTTTGATGGAGAAATTATATTATTACCATTGCCACATTGCTACTCACGTCACTTAGCAACTCACATTTCTTTGTTAATGTGGTCTGGTGCATTTTAGGGACCCACACAAGATTTCCTATTTTTTGTTGTCTCTAGCCTGTCCTGTTGGATCTTTTAGATGCTCCTCTGGTTTGTGCGTCCCTCAGGCCCAGTGATGTGATGGAGTAAATGACTGCTTTGATGAAAGCGATGAACTCTTCTGTGGTGGGTATTCAAGCTTTTATTATGACCTTTCTTAGGAGTAAGTGGCTTGCCAGGACCATTGTTGGTGCTGATATATATCCTGGTCTTTGTAGCTGTTATCTATTACCACATAACAAACTACCCCCGACCCCCACCCCAAACTCAGTGACAGGACAATCATTCGCGCTAGATTATCCCTCTGTGGGTTGTCTGAGGTATGATTGATCTAGGCTGGACTCAGCTGGGTGTCACTACCGAAGCTGGGGGTCCTCCTGGGCTTGGTTCTTCTCAGGCTGGAGTCTCGTCTACTTCTCATGGTTCTTTTCCTTGTTGAACTAGTGGACTGGCCACAGCAGTGGTAGAAACAAAGGTGGGGTGACGAAAAATGCAAGTTTCCTCTTAAGTCCTGGGCTTGGAGCTGAAACAGTATTACTTGTATCATATTCCATCAGTCAAATAACGAGGCCACAGTCAAGGGGCAGGGCTGGGACCATGGCAGAGGTGGAGGTGCATAGTACTATTATAGGGAGTGAAGACCTGTGGCTAATATTCAACCCACCACAATCTTAAACGTGGTCCCATTTTAAAGCACAGATCTTTCCTCTAAAAAGAAGTTCAGAATCTGCGGAGAAGTAAACTATCTCAGAATGCTTGCTTATGGAGTACAGGTATTGAAAATAAAAAGAAAAAGATTTTTTTTTACCTGTGTATTACATCAATATCACATTGGTGATAATTAAATGGTAGGGTATTGGATATTATTATTTTGGGCAGAGAATCTCTGATTTGGCTTTTCATTACTATTTGCACATAATTTCTGAATCTATCTCCAGTTTTAGGGAGCAATATGGGGAGAATAGTTCACCAGACCATGTGACGCCACTGGCAACGCTTTCTTCTAAAGAGCCAGAGTTTGGGACTTCCCTGGTGGTCCAATGGCTAAGACTCCACACTCCCAATGCCGGGGACCTTGGTTCGATCCCTGGTCAGGGAACTAGATCCCATATGCTGCAACTAAGCATTCGAATGCTGCAACTAAAGATCATGTGTGCTGCAACCAAGACCTGGTACAGCCCAAATAAATAAACAAATATTAAAAATAAATAAAGATCCAGAGTTTAATACAATGGCTATGGTGATGCTATTTAACCTTTTTCATATTTTAGAGAAATATAAATAACTGAAAACTTATGTTCATAAAAAATAACCTATGACTCTACATCTTTTTTTTTATTGGCAAAACAAAATAAAACCCTCTTAACTTAGGCTTCACTAACAATTTAAATCTATAGGATCTTCTATTTCTTGAGAAAATATGTACTACTATATAGGGATTGTGGTTGCTTTTGTTTTTTATGTTATTATTCCCTATTAATGCGTCACTTGATGCTCCAAGTGAAAGTGATTATTATTACTTTGTAACAAGAACCGTGCTTTAGTAATCATCATTTCTCATCATGCCATGTTGTGAGCTGTTCTCCAGGAGTTGACTAGGTTACCAGCTACTCTCAGAGTAGATATACGAACTATTTCAGGGCAGCAATGTCCTCCTTTCTGCTCCCCTCAAGATGTACCTCTGAAAAACCAAGAGCAGATAACACAAATAATGACTTCTCAAAAAAAACCAGAAATTTCTAAGAAATTATACCTTCTAAGAGTGCTCATCAATATGTTGTATCTGTCATTGGTTTAAAGGAAATTCCTGAAAATATTTCAAAGAATAAAAATTATAATAGATTTATACTGGTATTTCCTAACTCAGGAAATGAACGTTTCCAGGATAAAATAATTTTAAAGAAGAGTTTTCCTTACCAAGAGACTACAAGTCTGTTGTTTCTTAAGATCTCACAATCATTAATGTATTCAGTAACTTTTAGTGAGCACCTACTATTTGATCAGGCTTTGCTGGTGGCTCAGTGGTAAAGAATCTGCCTGCCAATGCAGGAGATTGATCCCTGTGTCAGGAAGATCCCCTGGAGAAAGAAATGGCAACCCACTCCAGTATTCTTGCCTGGGAAACCCCATGGACAGAAGAACCTGGTGGCCTACAGTCCTTGGGGTCACAAAAAAGTCAGACACGACTTAGCAACTGGACAAGAACAACTACTTGATCAAGCACTTGAAGTACAGAGATGAGTAAGACAAAGTCCTCAACCTCAGGACACTCCATCTTGTTTAGGAAGGTGAACAAGTTCAATTTAGCTAACAGCTTATGATTTTTATTTTCCTTAAAATCTTATGATACATCTAGTTGTAATTAAATAAGCCACCAAAATGTAATATATTTACGCACAGCAAAAGTCAGATCTGACAAACTCGAAGTGCAAAGAGTTACCCCAAAGCTTAAACATCTACTTTTCCTCTTGGAGCTGTCAGTTTTGAGAAAATACACATTTTGTTTTAAGTCATCTTAACCACTTCAGTGTTTCCAGGGGCACTGCTGGTCCTCAGGGGTCCCGCTGATGTCTCAGGCTCACCAGCTTCCGCCTGTTCTCCTTCCAGTGACTCTCAAGCCTGCCTGCAATGCCAGCTCCTTCGGCAGCACAGCACCCTGACCTGCGCCGGCTTCCAGGACTGTGAGGACGGCCGGGTGAGCAGAACCGCACTCACAGTGAGCGGGAGTGCTCTGCGCTCTCCTCTGCTCCCTAGCACACTCTTCTTCTTTTTTCAACTTTCCCATTTTATTTTTTTAAATTTATTTTAAATTAATTTATTTACTTTAATTGGAGGCTAATTACTTCACAATATTGTGGTGGTTTCTGCCATACATTCACATGAATCAGCCATGGGCGTACACGCCTAGCACACTCTTCTAAGCCAAAATCAAAATATCTCTGTTGAGCTGGGGCAATCGACTTGTCCTAGTTCTCCCACTGAAAGTCTCAGGTCCCAGGAATCCTCCTGGGCCCAGATAAAATGGATGAGTTGTTCACTAATTGAGGTGGCGTCTGCGCGGGTGTGTGTGTGGAGAGAGAGGAAAAGAGAGAGAGAGAATACTGGAAGATTTTCCTTGCTGACATAATTTTAATGCTGCTCTTGACTAAAGTATACTGTGGATCTGATATAGAGGGATGTGCCAGATACCGTGACTGGGTATAGTCTATCTAGCCCCTACAAAAACACACACAGCCAGTGTTGTGAACAAGTGTGCTGTATATTCACAAAATCTGCCCATTTCCCCCCCTAACGGTATAAAAGGACTGAGTATTATTTTGCTTTAAGATTTTCTTGGAGAACAAGACAAAGTAATGGCAAAGAGGCCACTAAGCCACTGACACGGCCGACTGCTCGGCATCTCAGGGGAGGCTGTTGGATCGATTTTGAGCTAGCACCTGCCTGCCTTTCAGAGGCTCTGCTGAGACGCAGGGACAGGAGCCTGTGGGAGTGCTCCAGTTCCCTCTGCCATGCGCAGCAAATACTGACCCTGTGGCCAAGCCATCCTTGGTGGGCAGAGCTCAGTGTTACTCACTCAAATCAGTCTCTTCTTTTGTTCATTTTTAGGTATTCCATGCAACAACAGAACTTTTAAGTGTGGCAATGATGTTTGCATTAGGAAACAAAATGCAAAATGTGATGGCAACGTGGATTGTCCAGATGGAGGTGATGAAGAAGGCTGCAGTGAGTAGAAACACGTTCCTTCTGATCTTTTGTATTTCTCCCTCAGTCGACCTGTTTTTTCATTTTCATTTCATTCTTGGTATAATTCCCCTGGCAGAAGTTGCCACAGGCCAGGCAAGAATAGTAGATACTGGTGAACTGAATCCGAAATGGTTTCTCAGAATTAAGAATTCTAGAGTGAATTCTTTTAATTCTTTCTTAATTCTTAAGAGTAAGAAATAATTAAAATTTATTCTTTATTTTCTGCCTTCTTTCTTGATAGTAATTATTCATGCACTAGGTGTTTACATGAAGTACTTCTACTTTCTAATAACCTTAATCAAGGCATAAGCTCTTAAAGAAAAACCGATGAGAAAAGAAATAGGTACTGGAATACTGTGGATGATTTTATCAATTATGCCTTATGTTGTGACCAATGTCAAGAGCTGGCTCTTTCTTTAGCTATGACCCGAGAACTGTAATCTGCCATGTGTCATTATTAATTGCATGACCTCTAATTGGCCACGTGCCAACATGTTAATTATATATCCTTCTCAGTACTATTTACACTGGAAAATAATTGCTTTGATACCCAGTTTTTCTTATGTTTTGGACTTACGAATTCTCTCCTGAATCAACACAATTTCAAGGACACTCTCAATTCGGTTGCTTTTGGGACTAATCTTTCTTCTCTACCTAACAACCTGAGCTCCACAGCTGCTGTTTTTATTGGTGCGGCTGTTACTAGTAGGTCCCTCCCTCCCCTCATGTCACTGTACAGAGACTCTGCAGCAAGGCCTGCTTTCAGGAGGGAGGTAGTGGTTTGTTGGTGCTGGTTTCAGACAGACGCACGTATTGCCTCTCTAGATAAGCAGGGGATTGCAAGTTGCTTACCTGGTTAGTTACTTCCCAACCCAGCTCAAAATTTGCCTGAATGCCTGGTTTTTCTTCCAAGTCTGCCTTTAACTCATGGGACCCCTCCTCTCCTAAAGGCTGCAGCAGCAGTTCCCCCACCCTCCACCGCATCATCGGGGGCACCGATACCCAGGAGGGGGGTTGGCCGTGGCAAGTCAGCCTCCACTTCGTTGGATCTGCCTACTGTGGCACCTCAGTCATCTCCAGGGAGTGGCTCCTCTCTGCCGCCCACTGTTTCCATGGAAGCAGGTAGAGCATCTCAATTCTTACTCTGAAGTAACCACAGACCACATAGCTGCTCTGACATTGTGGGAAGAAGCTTGCATTTGGATCCATTCAATCAATTCAGTTGGTCGTTCTTAATTTCGTTTTGTTTCTGTGACACCAGTTGTATGCTGAATGTTCTTTTTAAGTTATTACCAACTTAAAGGGAAGGTCACAAAAGTATATCAAGAATGAATAGGCTTTTACTAGGCTGAGAAAATAAGATAGCGCTTTCAGGTTGGAAGGAATTCTATGGGAACGTGTGAAGACTGTGGAGTGTAGGAATGTATGGAGGACAGCACTGAGGGATGACTGGAGTATGGAGACCCCTATTTAGGGTGTGAAGGCAACGACTCTGTACCCAGTTTCCAGTGCGGTGGTGGGGAGCGTTCGCACACCCCAGAGCAATTGTCTGACACCAGCTAGGTGTCCTGTAATTCAGCTCAGTTCTGATTTGTCTGCCCAGATAGACAGATTACGCACTTTAGGGGCTCAGTCTAACAAATCTACTCCCCTCCCCCCAATTCAGACACCAGTAGAATGTCCAGGTTGTCACCTGCACTTTTGACTGACAGGCTATAGAGTGTAGGTTCCAGGGACCCCCTCCTTGGATTTTACTAATTTGCTACAGCAGCTCACAGAACTCAGAGAAACATTTTACTTGCTGGCTTGCCAGTTTATTATAACAAGATACAATTTGGGAACAGCCTGACGGAAGACATACAGAGGGCAAGGTGTGAGAAAGTATGCAGTTTTCCATGCATGGACTGTTAAACTTCCAATCTTCACGTGTCTACCAACCCGGAAGCTCTCCAAACCTTTTGGGCTTTTATGGAGGCTCCCTGACGCAGGCACGATTCATTTAATCATTGGTCACTGGACACAGATTCAACCTCTAGCCCCTTCAGCCTTAGTTGCAGTCCCAAAGTAACCTCAGTAACATAACAAAAGACACTTTGGTTCCTCTCATCATTTAGGAAATTCTACAAGCTTTAGGAGCTCTGTGCCGGGAATGGAAGGATGACCAAATGTATAGTTTTTAGTATAAATCGCAATATCACAGAGGAGGATCACAAACAAGTCCTTTGGGGTAATTGTCAGGAGGGCTCTGTCTGTCCTTACCAATGGGGTTATCGTGGGCCAGACATTCTCCCCTCTAAGGGAGAAAGGAAAGCTTGGACAACAACTTCACTTAAAATGTGACCTTATTTGGAACCAGTTGAATCCTAGGTACAAAAATACATCAGTTATTTCTCACCTAGAATTTTTAAAAGTATTTCAATGAATTTATACAATTAGAGTATTTGTTTCTCCTGGAAATTACAGGATGCATGTTAATGACCGAAATGGCTATGCTTCTGTCCATCACTAGTCTTTTACGTAATATATTACTCTCGGTACTCCCCTAGGTCCCTGTATGCACGTGAGATCAGGGGCCAAGCACTTTGGGATGAGTCCTTCTTTTCCTCCAAAGCGTCCACATTCTCTTCACCCCACCAGAGCAGGCTGCTGTGCTGGTGGGGATAAGAAGCCCCAGATGGAGATTAGAAAGCCCTCGTGACCTCATGCCAGTCCACTGGGGGGCTCACAGCGAGCGGGGCCCTGTGAATAGTCAAGATTGAGCAGTTAGAGCAGCAATCTTTAAGGCTTCTGGTAGTTTGCAAAAAGAAATCTCCTTAAATTGCTGCTTGGAACGCTTTGATTTCTAATCTGTCTTGGTATCATTTGAATTTGGTGAAAGGACCCCCAGATCACTGTGTTATTGGCCCTGTCTGTCTCCATCAAATACCACTGTCAGCATGAATAGGAAGAAGGTACCAAATAAATTCCAGTCACTAACAATCTTAACTTGTGGGTGGTTCCTGAAATACCGATAGCAAGAAAATTTCCAGCATGTCCTTAGAACTCACTGAGGAAATGTTCTGGAACCCAGCTCTCATCTGCCAGCCCTACTCGACCTGACTTCATCTTGGTTTTACTAGGGAGACAAGGGAGGCTCAGAGGCCCAGTCAGCTACTGCAGTCGGGAGCGAGAGTCAGACCTCCCTTCCCGCAGCCCCTCTCTCTGCGGAGGGCTCTCTCCAAACCACAGACGGTTCTTCACGCCTCTGACTCCGTGCTTCCTTCCTTTCGCCCCAGGCCGTCTGACCCCACGCCGTGGACCGCGCACCTTGGCATGTACGTGCAGGGGAACGCCAAGCTCGTCTCCCCGGTGAGGAGAATCGTGGTCCACGAGCACTACAACAGCCAGACCTTTGACTACGACATTGCCTTGCTGCAGCTCAGTGTCGCCTGGCCTGAGGCCCCGAAGCAGCTCGTTCAGCCAGTGTGCATCCCTCCTGCCGGCCAGAAAGTGCGCAGTGGAGAGAAGTGCTGGGTGACCGGCTGGGGCGCAGGCACGAAGCAGGTGTGTGTCAGCGAGTGCCCTTCCCTCCCCGCCGATGTGGCCCCTTGGGGTTGATGGAGAGGGTTTTTGTATGTGATCGCATCTGAGCCTCTCACAGCTCTGACAGACTGGAGGAGAGCATTAACATTCCGGTGTTATGATGCTCTCCCCGTGTCCCCCAAAGGAGTGAGAACAACCTCTTAAGGGAAGGTCTATGAGCAAGGCAGCACAGGATAGTACAGGCCCTTTTCAATCTCGTGGGAGTTTGCTATGTTTTCTGCTATAGAAGAACATTTCCTCCATATTTTTATGTTCCCTTTCATTTAAAAAAAATGACTCATTTTCATGAAAAAGAGAAGGTTGCTCATACACAACTTACTATGTCAACTCATAGACAGTAGTCTGGAGGATTATGCAAGTATGTCCTTCACGAGGGCAACTGGCCCAGTGGGTGAGCGTGAAGGCTGAAACCCAGATTATCCTCAGTTCCCCAGACTGCAGATTCAGGCCTGGGGGATGGTCACATCAGCCTAGGAATGGTCCAGCAAGAGAGAATGCCATTTTACAATGCCCCCGCCCAGAGGGGGCAACTTCATCATATGCACAAAGGTCAGATTGTATGGCAGGGAAGTCTTTACATCTGCCCTGCCAAGGTTTTTAATGGCTTAGGATTCTAAATACACAGTAAAGAGAATAATCCAAAACTTTGTGACCATCTCCCCAGAGGTGAGAGCTGATGCTTTCCCTTGATCTCTTAGTCTTTATCTTGGATTCCCTTATAGTCATTTCTAAGTGCTTAGAACAGGTACATTATCTTTAAATCTTGAACTGTATCTTGGCCTTGCTTTGACACTCTAAAGATTCATTATGGGCAGCTTCTCCAGTGCTAACTACCCACATTTAGTTATTGAACTCATGAAATTCACCACCTGTCTGGGCCTTCTGGGAGAAGGCAGATCACTGCTCAAACACCTATAAACCATCAGGACTGTGCTCAGGGCTTTCATTACATCACTGTATATCATAGGAGGAAAGAGGTTCTTCAACCACTTTATCATGGGGCGTTTTCTTTTCTTTTTTTAAAAAAATCATTCTGCTGACTTTAATGTTTCTGATTGTATTATTAAATAGTTACTACACACAAAGAGTATTTTTAACAGTCATGTAAAGTACAAACCTTTGCATGACGCTGCTGTGCTCCCCAAGCCCAGAGGTGGACGTGGCCACCACTGCAGCTGCCGCACACTGCCGCACCCCCACGCCCTCCCAGGAGCCTGGGCGGCCTGGCACTGATGGTGGGTGTTTTCTTTACAAGCATGAGTGCGTCAATGAATTGGCTTAGCCATATGGGTTTAAAAGGAGGTGGAAGGGCTGTTTCCACACCGTTATGCTTTATGGTTCCTAGGGTACTTTCAGATGTCAGTTACCATGCCCACTTAAGGGGCCCTCTTGACCAGGGAGTGTTGGCAACGGTGTTACTGACTCACAGTCTTGAAGGCAGGAGGTATGTGGGAAGGACCGTAGCTCAGATGGTCGAGTCAGGTCTTGGGTCTGAATCTCGCTCTATTTTTCCTATTGGTGTGCCACTAGATAAGTCCTTTATCCTCCTAGGCCTCCATGTCTTCATTTGAAAAAATGAGCATCATAATAGAATTTACCTAAAAACAATTGCTATAGAGTAAAAGGAGAAAATGAACAAATTGTCTAATAAAGTAAATGTAATCATTGCCTTGATTTCTACTTCTGTGTGTTTTCCAGACAGTGAAGGCTCCCCTGTTTTGCAGCAAGCAGACGTAGAGCTCATTGACCAAACCCTCTGTGTTTCCACCTATGGCATTATCACTTCGAGGATGCTCTGTGCAGGTGTCATGTCAGGCAAGAAAGATGCTTGCAGAGTAAGCCGTCTTATGCTTTCTTTGTCTAACATGTTGTACTTTCCATAAATGCTTTCATGTTTAATCTACACCATACTGGCAATAACTCGGGCAGGTGATTGCCTTAATTCAGACACTAATTATAATCCAATTGTCTGAGATGAGGGAAAGGTGATTAAATACTAATTGGATCTGTAAAACTCATTTTCTAATTCCCATGTATTTTTCTCCAACAATTAGAGAATGGGGTCAGCATTTATCATTCTGCCATGATTGTCTTATAACCAGAAACTAAAAAACATAGCAAGATGGACGCAGTGTTTTAGGATTGCTACCCATTTCCCTAGCAGTGGCTGTGTACCTCCTAAAATAACAAGTATTTTATTCACTTACTCCTTTGACACACAGGCTGGGGGTAAGAAAAGAGGAGTGGGAAAGGTGACTGGAGGCCTCCTGACAGTGGTGAAGTTGAAGGTTACCTTTGGGGGGATATTTCTATGAGTCTCAGATTCCAATGTATGCAGATACCTATATGATTACCAAAAAGTGAGCAGACGTTTTAGAGGATGAGCCAGTGCAGGAGATCGGGTTCGATCCCTGGGTCAGGAACACCCCTTTGAGGACAGCATGGCAACCCACTCCAGAACTGTTGCCTGGAGACTCCCATGGACAGAGGAGCCTGGTGGGCTACAGTTCCTGGGGTTGCTAAGAGTCAGACACGATTGACCGCATGTGCAGGCAGAGGGCAGAGGAGCTGTTCCCGCATCTTTCCGTAACCTTAGACACTGTGCTACAGAAACTCATCTTATTATAAAGATGACTTCTATCTTCTGAACTCCTATTTCGTGGCAAGGACTATGCTAGGATCTTTACACAAATTCATTCAAGTTGTTCTTTCATCCACATTTTATAGAAGAGGAAACTGGGGCACAGGAGCCCAGGTAAGTTACTCAAGTTCACACAGCTGGTTGAGTTGGAATTTGAGCTCTTACCTCTGAAAGCTACTCTATTTTGGGTGCTCCCTGCAGGTAGCTGGTTATATAGTTCTGTTCTCCATAGCTACCAGGGTTTAGAGGTTAAATGAGGCTTCATGGAGTTGGAGTGCCAACAGTTAAAATAAAAAGATTCCAGTCTCTCTACTAGTTAGAATTCCCCTAGTCAGGTTTAGAATTGCGGGGGTGACATCCAGGGACAGTTTTGGGATGCTTTTTTGTCTCTGCCTCTGAGTAGGCAGCTTTAGGGCTCCCTTGGTGGCTCAGGCGGTAAAGAATCCGCTTGCAATGCAGGTAGACCTGAGTTCGATCCCTGGGTCAGGAAGATTCCCTGGAGAAGGGAATAGCTACCCATTCCAGTGTTCTTGCCTGGAGAATCCCAGGGACAGAGGAGTCAGTGGACTACAGTCCGTGAGATCACAAAGAGTCAAACATGACTCAGCACCCACAAACACCTTTAGCCGAAAATAAAAGTTCAGATGTTATACTTTAAATAATGAACACTGTAGAAATTCTATGTAAACATTGAATTATTTCAGCCTTTGTTTTTGGAATTCAGATGCCAGAAAGGGCTCTCGAGTGAGAGTGCTTTCTCTGTAACAACTATCAGCCAGTGATCCTTGGGGCTGTGTCATTGGACCCTGCCAACTACAGAGGATCTCCTTTCCTTTTTTCCTCATGGCCATGAGCCAACACTGAAGTTGCATGGCATAGAGGTAGAAGTCAACCAATCCTCCAAGATAACCACGCCTCAAGAGGTTATTGTGAAGATTAAATGACCCAAAACAGTGTTTAGCACATACTACCACTAAACGAAAGTGAAAGTCACTCAGTCGTGGGCAAGTCTTCTTGACACCTCCCTTGTAGTATATTGAACACCTTCTGACCTGGGGGGCTCATCTTGTGTCATATCTTTCCATGTTTTCAGACTGTTTATGGGGTTTTCATGGCAGGAATATTGGAGTGGTCTGCCATTCCCTCCCCCAGTGGACCATGTTTTGTCAGAACTCTCCACTGTGACCTGGCCGTCTTGGGTGGCTCTGCACAGCACGGCTCATAGCTTCATTGAGTTATGCAAGCCCCTTCACCATGACAAGGCTGTGATCCACGAAGGGGCAAAGGTTATTATGAGGATTCAATGACCCAAAATAGTGCTTAGCACAGCCCAGCACTAAATAAATGTCAGCTATTATTATTACTGTTACTACTATTACTATTTTTATTATCGAGGTTTGCTATTTGTTTGTAGGTGTATGAATGTTGATTCCTTTGCAAGAATCTTCAAATGTTACTCCTGGCCTAAAGAATCAAGTTTCTTATGATGAATGCACCTTTTTGATTACAGGAAAAGTAATTCAAAACAACATTAGAAGTTTCACATTATTTCTTGATACTTCGCCAAGCTGCATAGGAATTAGCTAAGAACCCTGTCAGACTGGGAGTTTGAACACAATTCATTAGGCACTTTAATAACAAAATTGACAACCATGGAACAAAAGTGCTTTTTACTTATGTTATCTTTTTCTGTAGGGAGATTCAGGTGGACCTTTATCCTGTCGAAGAAAGAGTGATGGAAAATGGATTTTGACTGGCATTGTTAGCTGGGGTCATGGATGTGGAAGACCAAACTTTCCTGGTGTTTACACAAGGGTGTCAAACTTTGTTCCCTGGATTCATAAATACGTCCCTTCTCTTTTGTAATTGTGCAAGTTTGATTTTTGACTGTGTTTTATGTGATAGATTCTTTTAAAAGGAATGCAGTAATTTTCAATAAAATGAGAGAATCTTTTTCTTCTGGAAATTTCACATTGCATACATTTGATGTTTATTGAAAGATAGAAAGATTAATATGTATTTTATTCCATGAAAAATTGCATCTAGGATACAGCTGTATTCATTCTTAAGGGTCAAAGGGCCCTTGATTCAGGAATGGAAGAAAACTAAAGTAATGTCATGAACCAAGCCTCTAAAATAAGATAAGTGGGTGAGATGTTCAGGAATCCACACCTTAATTTATGTTCTTATTCAAGGGCAGATATTTATAAAGATCTAAGTAAATATGATTTATTGAAATCAATTCCATAAAAAAAAACCCATGCCTGATCTTTGGTGTTCTAATGGAATGCAAAAAAATGACTCCTTCACAAATGCAAATAAAGGCAAACTCTGTTACTGACAGAGGAAATACCTATATCGTTATTTTCCAATATTTGGTCTAACCATATCATGGGGACATTTTTTCAGCAATAACATGGTAATATTGTGCACAGAGAAACCATCAAACAGCTAACAAAACTAACAATTAGTATTCTTCATTAAAATGATAGAATTCAGCATTGTGGTAGGAGGATTGAAAACATTTACATGGGATTTAAAAAAATTGTGGCAAGGCTGGCCAACAATTGAAAGACAAAAGAGTTTTTGTTTTAGTTTGTTTGTTTTCATTTAATTTTATTAGTTGGAGGCTAATTACTTCACAATATTGTAGTGGTTTTTGCCATACATTGACATGAATCAGCCATGGATTTACATGTGTCCCCCATCCCGATCCCCCCTCCCGCCTCCCTCCCCATCCCCATCCTCTGGGTCTTCCCAGTGCACCAGCCCTGAGCCCTTGTCTCATGCCTCCAGCCAGGGCTGGTGATCTGTTTCACCCTTGATAGTACACTTGTTTCAATGCTGTTCTCTCTGATCATCCCACCCTCGCCTTCTCCCACAGAGTCCAAAAGTCTGTTCTGTACATGTGTCTCTTTTCCTGTTTTTCAAATAGGGTTATCATTACCATCTTTCTAAATTCCATATATATGTGTTAGTATACTGTATTGGTCTTTATCTTTCTGGCTTACTTCACTCTGTATAATGGGCTCCAGTTTCATCCATCTTATCAGAACTGATTCAAATGAATTATTTTTAATGGCTGAGTAATATTCCATTGTGTATATGTACCACAGCTTCCTTATCCATTCATCTGCTGATGGGCATCTAGGTTGCTTCCATGTCCTGACTATTATAAATAGTCCTGCGATGAACATTGGGGTTCACGTGTCTCTTTCAGATCTGGTTTCCTCGGTGTGTATGCCCAGAAGTGGTATTGCTGGGTCATATGGCAGTTCTAATTCCAGTTTCTTAAGAAATCTCCACACTGTTCTCCATAGCGGCTGTACTAGTTTGCATTCCCACCAACAGTGTAAGAGGGTTCCCTTTTCTCCACACCCTCTCCAGCATTTATTGCTTGTAGACTTTTGGATAGCAGCCATCCTGACTGGCGTGTAATGGTACCTCATTGTGGTTTTGATTTGCATTTCTCTGATAATGAGTGACGTTGAGCATCTTTTCATGTGTTTGTTAGCCATCTGTATGTCTTCTTTGGAGAAATGTCTGTTTAGTTCTTTGGCCCGTTGTTTGATTGGGTCATTTATTTTTCTGGAATTGAGCTGCAGGAGTTGCTTGTATATTTTTGAGATTAATCCTTTGTAAAGACAAAAGAGTTTTTGAATGATTGTTTTGAAAGGGAAAATTTTCAGAAATCATCTAACTTCTGATCCTTTTATAAACCTCAAATGGCCAAGATTTTCTTTTATTTTCAGAGCCTTATAATATCTAGCATAGTTGTAAATCTATAGTACATGCTCAGTACATCACAGTTATTGATTTATTTTGTCCTGATTTACTGTGTTTCACACTTAATCTCAGAATAAACTTTTCATTAAAAGAGGCCAGACTTAACAATATCACCAAATAGATAAAAACAGCAGAAAGAAGAATGATATTATTTTTTCCTTGGGATTAAGTCAAAAAAGTAATCGCAATGCTATTTTTTGGTAGGGCTCAAAACAGTGGGACTGATTTTCATAAGATGTCAGAAAATCTTAACGTAACAGCAAAAGAATAGAGAGCAAAAGGTGTCATAACTGGCATCAGATAGTAAGAT